ATATATATATATATATATATATATATATATATATATATTTATATATTAGAGGCCTGTTGCACGAAAAGATTCGTGCAATAGCCTTTCCCTTCCCCTGGCTACTGGCACCAGTTTTCCTCTGGCACCTGGGACCCAGACCTTCACTCTGGCCACCGCCTTCCATCTTTGCTCTGGACACAGTCTTCTCTGTGGCTGGAGCCTTCAGTCTTTGCTCCTCGCTCTGGCGGGAGTCTTCAGTCTCCAGCCAGAGCTGCTCCTGTAGCTCCTTTCGCCCCCCACCCTTCCCCTCATAGCTTGATCGCGCCTGTAGACCTCACCGTGGGGCTCCTGGGTCCTGGGGGTGCCACCTTGCCTGCGGCCCGGCTTTCCGATCACGATCAGGATCACGGGCCGCAGGCAAGGCGGCTCCTGGGTCCCGGGGGTGCCGCCTTGCATGCGGCCTGGCTTTCCAATCATGATCACTGGCTGGGGGGCGGGCAAGGGCGGCCCCAGTTCCCCGGCCCTTGCCTGCCGCCTGGGTTTCTGATCACCATTCTTCCGTCCTTCTCCTTTTGCCTCCCATCATTGTGCCTACATATGCAAATTAACCGCCATCTTTCTTGGCAGTTAATTTGCATATCACCCTGATTAGCCAATGGGAAGCGTAGCAAAGGTACGGTCAATTACCCTTTTTGTCTTTTATTAGATAGGATAGGTATATATATAGATTACAGTTGACAGTCAGTGTTGTTTTATATTAGTTTCAGGTGCACAACACAGTGAAGGGGGCCCACATATGAAACTCCCCTCACAAGCTTTCCCACTCAGGGGCTTTACAGCCTGTGACATCCAGAAAGTATAATGTGCTATTCAAAAGCACAATGAGCAAGTTCAGCAAGATGACATTCCACAAAACAAACAGGAGAGAGTAAGAAAGCAGATATACTCACCCAGACCACAAATCAAAGGTGCTTTTATGCTATTTTCACAAAAATTTTTATTCTGAGACCCAGGGAAAGCATTGTGGATTCTGTGAAAAGCAACTAATTCTCTGGAGTGGCCTGGAACTAGTGATGTAATGCAATATGATAGTGACAGAAATCCCCAGGCCTCACCATCCCCAACGTCTCCTGACTAGCAGCACCAAGTAGGCCTGCAGCTCAGTGCCTGTCCCGCCCCTCATACTCCCTGTCCCAGCTCACAATCCTTCCATGTGTGTAGGGCCACGCACCTGACAAGTCCTTCTGTATCCACAGCGCCATTCACCTTCCCGCCCACTGGTGGCTCCAGCAGCATGAAATCAGCATCTTTCAACACATACAAACCCTGCATCCAATGGTGTCAGGACAGTCATGTGTGACTACAGCAGAATTAGTGTGTTTTGTGTACAAATGTTATTCCTCAAGTTTGAAATCTAAATTCATCACAGAAAAATGAGGAGAGACAGAGAAGCTAAAAGTAAAAAAGATGAATCCAATGCTATCACTTGGGTCAATCCTTTCACAAATGGATCCTTCTGTTCTTCTTTCTAATATAAATATGTTCCATTCTACTCTCCTGAAACCTGCTTTTCTAATTTAACACAAATATCTTTACACATCAGCAGTAATTGTCCTTCATTATATTTAATGGATGCAAAGGGTCCAACTGTACAAACAGGAAGGACTGCACTTGAATACCCCCTGGACAGAAACTGAATCTGTTATTATTATAAAGTTCCTAGTCACTTGTCCCAGATATTTGGAAATTCATCTTAGAATTTGTTATATATATAAAATGTCCATGGTCAAGCACTCTATCAATCAGAGCCCAGTAACATGCCGAGACTCCGTTTGGAGGAAAATGGCATGACAAGTTTCAAGGAGTGGAGGCACAAAACGCACAATAACAATTTAATGCTTTGTCTACTTTTACAAAGCTCTTTTACAATGTTAGTTCACTATATCC